TGGTGACAATAGCTCAAAGTTCTTTACTCCTTAGTGCCTGGTTGTATTTTGTGGGGGCTTCAGCTATTGGCATGCAGTGTGCAGGATGTTTTTCTGTCTGTGTTGGTAGTTTGCTTTAGCCACTGCCTTTGTGATCAGCTCAGCAAACTCTGCTGCACTTGCTGTGGGTGGCGCCATCCTCTGCCTGGCCTGTAACAACGGAGAGGCTGCAGGGATAATGGGATGGGCTGGCAGATGTGTGGCTTTGCTCTGGCCACACTGCAACACCGGGCCTGGACACACCAGTAGAGAGGAAGGAGCCCATGGGTTTGGCTTATGCAGGCACCTTCTGGGTTGGGCTGAAATGGAGCCAAGGAAGCTGGGAGAGTCTCCCACTGCCTGCGAGGTGGCAAAGTCCAACACTGCCACTGGGTCCAGAGTGTGCACGGAGGAGCCTTGGGGCTGCGCTGCCATCAAGGGGCATGGAACCTCAAGAGTTCCTGATCTGTTGGACTGAGGAAGGACTGGGGAGAGGGTTCTGTCCAACCTTCACCTCTCTGGCCCCCACCCACTGCTGGCAACTCTCTCAAACTGCTGCCTCTGCTCTGGGTCTCAGGACTGCCAAGCATGCCTGTCCTCCGCAATGGCCGGAGTCCCAGGATCCCACAGTATTCCACCGTCTATGGGGTTCAGCCCCGCCAATCACCAGAACCCAGTGTAATGTGGGCCCATGATCCTGGACAGATCTCCAGGGCCAGGTGTGCAGCACTGCTGGGCTCCTCTTCCTCCCCTATTCTGTTTCTCCTTCTCCCACCCATAGGCTGAGAGGGGGGCGGGCTTGGGTCCCACTCTTGACCTTGGCTCTGCCACTTTACCCTTTTCTGTGTGGTCTTCTCTTCTTCCCCAGGTGTAGGTGGTCTTTTCTGCAGTCTTCAGGTCATTTTCAGATTTAGTTGTGTTTGCTGTGTTTTCTTCTTTTATGTGTTTTTGGGAGGAGGTTTCCACCCTGCCTTCCTACTCGGCCATCTTTTTCTGGTAATCTGGCAGCATGGGTACTGTCTCAGGAAAGGCCATGATAAGTCCAAGCACAGAAAGCCAGGTGAGAGGTGCAAGGGCCAAGGTCTGAGGGCCGAGGGTGCCGGCCTCTCCCTGGTAGACTCTCATTCAACTGGCTGTTCAGCAGTTGGTAGGCTCTGGAGATTGGAACTGAGTGTATACGGTGTGACATCTGATAATCAGGTGGTCTTCTTCTGTTGAACAGGACCATCCAATGCACTACCAGGCTTTATTTTCAAAATCCAAAGCTAATGTCTGTACCATTCAGGCACACAAGTATCTCAAGCTCAAAGGGTCTTCATCAGGGCTGCTTTCCTTGTTTCACTCTGAGGATGTTCAAAGGATTTTGCCAGGCTGTTTTTCAGTGGCTGGTGATGCCATTCCATCCTGACTTTACAATGTTCTCCATCAGTCATTCTGGGAACTCTGCCTCTATTCCTCTCACCCAGAAAGCTTCTTCCTGGCAGCAGGTGAGATGTCCTATTTCCTTCTTTTTGATAGCTGTACTATTCTACCATACGGCCATGCCATAATTTATCTGAACAACTCCCCACTGATGTATATTTGGCTGTTTCCAGCCTTTTCTTAAGTAAACGTGGAGTAGTCAACATCCATGCACACTGACCCGTGCTTATGCATGTGAGTCTCTCTCTGGCACAGATTTTCAGAAGGGCAACTGTTGAGTCAAAGACAGTTTGAGTTTTTATCATTTTAATAACTATTGCCAAGCTGTTCCTATGAATTGAAATTAATAGTACCAGCTATCCTATACCTTTACCTATAATGTTATTGTATTGGATTTTAAATCTTTGCTAATCTTGTTATTTCCTGTTTTAAGAACATTTCCTTAGATAATCATTGTTTGCTCATTTGCAGGGGTGCTACTCCCAACACCTTTAAAAAACTGAGGAATAATTGACACAGAGCATTGTATTAGTTTTGGGCATACAGCAGAATGATTCAATATTTGTATATATTGCTAAACGACCTGCACAATAAGTCTAGTTAACATGTGTTTCCATACACAGTTACAGAATTTTTTTCCTCCCAATGAGAAATTTTAAGATCTACTCTCTTAGCAACTTTCAAATATGCAACATAGTATTATTAACTGTACTCACCATGCTCTTCATTACCCCCATGACTTAATTATTTCATAACTGAAAGTTATTATCTCTTGAATCCCTTCTCCCTTTCTCCCACCCCCAGCCCACTGCCTCTGGCAATCACCAATTTGTTCTCTGTATAGATGAGCTTGTTTCGTTTTGATTTCACAAATACAGGGGATCATACGGTATTCATCTTTCTGTGTCTGACTCATTTTGCTTAACATGATGCCCTCAAGGCCCATCCACATTGTCACAAATGGCAAGGTTTCATCCTATTTTTATGGGTGAATGATATTACATTATATATATCACATTTTCTATATCCATTCATCCATTGATGGAGAATTAGGTTATTTCCAAATATTGGCTATTTTAAATAATGTGGCAATGAATGTGAGTGTATATATACATATTTGAGTTTAGTTTTTGTTTTCTTCAGATAAATGCAATTCCAGAATTAGAACTGCTGGATCATATGGTCATTCAATTTAATTTTCTTGAGGAACCTCCACACTGTCTGTCTTCCATGGTGGCTGCACCAGTTTACATTCCCACCAACGGTGCACAAGGGTTCCCTTTCCTCCACATCCTCGCCAGTATTAGTGATTTCTTTTTTGACACTAGCTCTTTCTAACAGATGTGAGGTGATATCTCATCATGATTTTGATTTGCATTTCCTGGATAGTTAGTGATGTTTATTTAGCCCCTTTTCATGTACCTGTTGGCCATCTGTATATCCTCTTTAGAAGATGTCTATTCAGATAATTCTTTTTCACATGTTGATAAGCCTTTTGTTTTTCTTTATATGTGAGTGGTAGTCTTTTTTTTTTCTTTTTGCTCTTTTTCTGAGTTATTCTTTTCTTTCATATTTACTTACAAGAATTCATTTGAGAAATTTGTTTTTTCTATCTTGTCTTGCAAAAGGTTGTCTTTTGTCTTTGAGGTGTACTTTTAGTTAATTTTTATAGAGTCAAGCTTCTTTAAATTTTCTTTTACAGCCATACTATCCATCCATATCCTAGGGTTTATGGGCTTCCTTTACAGAAGGTTAATTTTTCCCTTAATCACGTATCTGCCTCCAAGCTCTCTATTCTGCTCCATGGGTCTATTTTCCTGATCCTGCAGCAGTGCCACACTATTTTTTATTACTTTATCTTTGTGATAGGTCTTAATATCTGGTAGAGTGAGTTCCTCCTAATTTTCATTTTTAAATTGACCTGATCAGCTTTTCCTGATCTCTTATCCTTCTAGAAACATTTCAGAGTATGTTTATTGAGTTCCTAAAAATATCAGGTAGATTTCATTTGAATGGAATATCTCCTATTGGTTGACCTGAATATACGACTGACTTGTGGAGAAAGGATTACTTCATAATATTAACACATACTATCCCAGAGGGTAGAATGGACATTCATTTTTGGATATTCAAATAGTCTTTAGTCATTTAATAGACCCTAGATTTTTTTCTTAGTGATCTTATGCTTATTTAGTAAAATTAACCCTGTGATATTTTTGTTGCCATGGTGAATCTTACCTTCTGTTTGGATTGAGAAAAGTTAACAAATTCATTTGGAATACAGAAATTTCACATTTCTCACTAAGCTTCATCCAGGTCTTTTATATCTTATCCTCATCATCATCACCATCTCTCTTATTGTCTTTTCTAACTGGTTATTTCTATATAGAAAAACTAATAATTTGTGCACATTAATTTTATGTCCAAGGAACACGGTAAATGCTAAAGATGGAGTCTCTTATCAGTAAGTAAAATAAAGGTCATTTAATAAAAAATTTTGGAAGAACTGAGGGGCTTCCTGTAAAAAACACTAATTCAAAGTGCTTCTAATATCTTATAACAAGATAGTATCCACATGAATTAAAGATTTAAAATAGAAAATAAAGGAGTCTTAAAATTCTAGAAGAAGCATGGGAAATGACTTTACAGCTCCAGAGTAGGGAATTTCCTATTCTTGCACACAAATCAGAAGATAGGTAATAAAGAGTTTGATATACTGATAAATGAAAAAGATACAGAGCAGTACGCAAAGAGTATCATATGCTACTATATGTTTTTAAGATGCACCAAAGGAGCCCTGGAAGGATACAGAAAAATAAAAAAACCTAGGCAAACTGTAAGGAGAGAAATGAGTGGTACTGAGACCTAAGAATGGTGTTTTGTAGTTTTCCATTTTGAACCAGCTAACTGTATTGGGTACTAAAAATTTAAATCACCACACAAAAAGGGATTAAAAAAAAAGAATTCATCCCCTGTACTGGATCTTCAATAGTTATGAAAGATTTTCCATGGTTTCTCTTGTGTTCTCTAAGTATAAAATCACCATTTGCCAAAAATGACATGTTTACCCCCACATTGCAAATTGCATTAATGTGTTCTCTTGTCTAATTGCATTATCTAGCATCTCTAGTATGGTGATAAATAAGAGTAAAACATTGGCTCTGTTCTTTTGTTTCTTACTCATTTGCCTATTGATTTTGCTTTCTTGCCATCAAAATACTTTATTATTATGTGCATTTGTAAACCTTTTTTATGGTTAGCTTCTGGTGGTGTATTTTGCCCAGGAAAGCTTCTAAAAATACCCAGCTAAATTTTCTCTGCTACTTCTGTGATACTGTTTTTCTTTCTTTCTTTTATTTCTTAAAACCACTTCATTAAAGTAGGTTGACATACAAAAAGCTGCGCACATTTAATATACAAAACTAATGAGCTTGGACGTAATTTATCCATTTGGGGTTTACTTTCTTTTAAGGAGAGGGAATCTCATGGGACACGAGGAGGGTTGGTGGAGGTGGTCCCTGTTTTTTTCTCCCTGGGTAATTGTTGGGGTGGTTCCTTAGGGACGATCTGTCCCAGTTGCCCTTCCTGACCATGTGCATCAAGGAGAGTCTGCGGCTGCATCCCCCAGTCACGGACATTGGCCGCTGCTGTACCCAGGATATTGTGCTCCCAGACGGACGAGTCATCCCCAAAGGTGCTCTGAGGACAGGGGACTGGCAGGTGTGGGGTGGTGGGGCGAGTGGCACAGGGTGTGACTGGGAGGCTCCTGGGCAGGAAGAGGGGCCCATGGAAGGGGGGACCTCTTCCTGACTCGCCCCTCCTTCCCACAGGTGTTACCTGCCTCATCAGCATTTTTGCCACCCACCACAACCCATCCCTGTGGCCAGACCCCGAGGTGCTGCCTCCCCTGACTCCCTGCTCCTCTGTGTCCACACCCCTAGGGGTCCCTGGGGAGGGTACAGGGCTCTGGCCTGGCAAATCAGAAGTCACCTCCCCCATCATACACAGCTTTGCTTCTCCAAAGATGACTGTCCTGGAGACGCCCACCCAGCAGCCTTTTCTTGGCCTCCCCCCAGGTCTATGACCCCTTTCGGTTTGAGCCAGAAAACATCAAGAAGAGGTCACCTCTGGCATATATGCCCTTTTCTGCAGGGCCCAGGTGAGACCAGCGGGCACCTGAGGTGGGCATGGGGTGGGGACGGGGGTCTGGGGCTGAGATCCCAAGCGTGACTGTGGGGGCAGGAAGGGGGACATGGAAAGTGGTGGCACTTCCCAGTCTCCTTCCCTGCCCTCCCCCAGGAGTTACAGGTAAGGATCCGGGGCCAAGGATGGGTCCCAGAAGTGCTCAGAACCCTTTTCCCCATCTGCTGGTCCCAGTTTGGGGCTGGAGTCTGGGTCGGATTCAGGGCCTATGCGAGCCCCCGTGGGGGTACCAGGCATGGGAAGCCCCGTTCTCTGTCCCTGCTGAATGAGATGGGGGTCCTGGGCCAGGATCCACGTGCAGTGGGGCGGGGATAAGGTTCCAGGGCACAGTCAGAGCCCGCACTCCCCTCCGCAGGAACTGTATCGGGCAGACGTTTGCCATGGCCGAGATGAAGGTGGTCCTGGCGCTCACGCTGCTGCGCTTCCGCGTCCTGCCTGATGACCAGGAGCCGCGCAGGCAGCCCCAGATCGTCCTGCGCGCGCAGGGCGGACTGTGGCTGCGGGTGGAGCCGATAAGCGCAGGGGAGCACTGAACCCCACCTTTCATCTTCTGTCCCCGCTCCCACCCCCCGCTGCCGCCCACCACCTCCTCCCTTCTCTACCTACCGAAAGCCCCTACCCCTCATCTCCCCCACCACTCCGACCCCCCTTCCCACTCCCTCCCACCCCACCACCACCCCACCCCCTCCGCCTGGCCCGTGTGGTCAGTCTGACCCTACACACCTCAGTTTGCAGATGCTCAGGAATAAAACTGTGGTGTCACCTCTGCCCTAGCCTATCTCAGATCCAGTAGGTGCCTGAGACCTCCATGGGGTCAGGGGATGGGTGGGCCGGTGTCTCTGAGCCTCTGCAGCTGACCACAAGGCCCCCACGCTGACCTGAGGTCTCCCGGAGCCCAAGCCTGGATTTTATCCTGTGGGCAATAGGGAGCCATGGGAGGTGTTTGGGTGGGAGAGGGACCAGGGCTAAGGGCGGACTTGAGGGGCACATCTGAGGCCCTGAGGCATGGGGGAGGTCCCCAGGGGCAGGCTCACTCCCCGGGGTGGCAGTGCCTCCCCCATGGAGGTCCCTGGCAGCCCAGAGCACTTTTCAGGGAGCGTCTGCAGCCCGCGCCCTGGCAGCCTCTCCAGGAACCTGTTCCCTTCTTGCTCTTGCCAACAGCCCCACTCCCGTGTCTGCTCCTCCCAGGCAGTCCCGCTGGCCACCCCCTGCCCTGTCTTCAGGAAGCCCGTTCTCTGTCCTTCTCTGGGGCCCCTGAGGCCGTCCAGGCAGCCTGGCCCATAACCGATCCCTGATGAGCCCTGCGATGTGCTGGGTGCTCCCATAAGGGTGTGAGGAGGAGGCTCATCTCCAGCGTCCTCCCCTGTGCTCGTCACGGGCCCCGCGGTCCATCTCTGGTGGGGCAGGGCCAGGGCCATCCGCGGCTCTTGACGTTCAAAGCCAGACCTTGGGCTCCAGTCTCGGCTCTGCCCTGTGACCTGGGCAAGTTAATTCCCCTCTCTGTGCCTCAGTCTCCGCAGCTGTGTAACGGAGACCACAGCAGCTAACATCTCAGGATGCCTCTAGGACTGCACGGGAAGGACTCGGAGGTGTGCTCCGCACACAGGACAGGCTCAGTATTTGTGGCCGCAATGGCTTTTTCTCTCCAAAAGCCTGGCTCCTAAGGCATGTTTCCTTGAAGACTGTAGTTTCTGTGATGAATCTTAGGAACTCGGAACTCCCAGGCAAGCCTTGTAAGGTTTGTGCTCATGGCATCGGCTCCTTCCACCTTGGGGGCCATGCCCAGCAGAAGCTCCCAGCAGTACCCTGCTACCGGTATTGACTTCCTTTCATAGCCGAAGGGACTCTGCCCCACCGAGCCCCTGCTGAGCCCTGGACCCTTCTCTCCAGTTCGTCTCCCTCCCTTACTTCTCCAAGAAACTGCAAATGCTTTGAGGCTGACCTGGTCCCAAAGTGTAGTCAGTGGATAAATGGCCCAGTGCTCCTTTATGCTCTCAATGAAAAGATTCAGTGCAAGGCAGAATTTCACACATTCTGTGCTAGGGTGAGCCCTGCAAAACACATCTTATCACAGCGAACAACACATCAGTGGCTGTTCTGGGAAAGAAAAAATTGGAGCCACCGTTGAAGAACCCTTGAGTCTGGCACAGGTGAATAGATTTACTTCTTGCAGGACTTCTCAGAGCATTTAAAATTCTAACATGGTTGAGCATTTTGAAAAAGGCCCCAAGTATCAACTACTTTGCAAATAAGGATGGTAAAGCAAGGTGATGAAAATTTCCTGAGTGTATATTATGCACTAACTCCCCAACAAAATGGCAATGGAGACCCAGGTCTCCAAGCCTATAAGGGGAGCTTGGATTTGAATGCGGATCTGAGGGGAAGCTTGGTACAGAATTAGGAGTCATGCTTACAAATAAAGCCCTGCGGAAATTTTAAGTGTACATTTAAACCATGGGTGTATTAGGAGGGGACAGAAAATTAGTTAAAGAATCTCCTTTGGGACTGGTGTAGGTGCACCGGCCTCACCCATGCATCATTAGTAAATCAAGCCCGTGGTTGCTCCAGCTCTCTGATGAACAGAGAGAAAATAGAGCAGAGCATACTAAAGCCCTAACTTCTCCAAGTAAGGTTTCTCTAAATCCAGCAACTGGGAAGAGCCCTGCAGACTGGCCAGCAGCTCCCCACCCCCAGTGTCTCCTGCTCCTACCCAAGCACAGCCTCCCTATCAACATCTCCCATCAGAGTGGTACTTTTGTTATAAATGATGAACGTACATGGACGCCTTATTACCCAAAGTCCACACTTTACATTAGATTCACTCTTGGTGTTGTGATATCTCTGGATATTGACAGATGGATAATGATGTGGTTGAAAATGAGGCTTGTCTGCATAAGGAGAGAATGAAATAAAATCACACATGAAAACTGGAAATTTCAAAGCAATAGAGATTTGAGGACAGGATCCCAAATCCTTGCATTTACTAGAGAAGGACTTAATGGATTCCTGTTTTGTTTTGTGTCTAAAATTTACATTTCTGTCCCTGACAATTGAAATAGTCTCCACCAGATGGAAAGGACCCTAGGAGCCTGTCATGCCTTCTACAGCCAAACGGGGAGTCATCTCCCCACTCATACCATGTGCCTCGCCTCTGTTTGAAGCCTCCCTTCCTCCCCGGAGTGGGCCATTTCCTCTTTGGGGGCCTTTAATCATGAAAAAACTCTTTTTCTTATGGAGGATCCACATCTCAGATGGTTACTGGTACAGTTGGGTGATGTATTTCTCTCATACACATGGGAGGCATTTAGTTCAATGTCTAGAAAACAGTATTTTAAAATCACGATATGCTTTCTATTTGCTTTGAGGCACTAATATAGATATGTAACACTTTGATTCATTTATTCATTTTCAGTGAATTATTTTCTCCTCACTACGAGATAAACACTAGGAGGGCAGGGGCTTTATCTCACTCTCTCTGCGCTCGAATTCCCTGGAGCACAGAAAGGGCTCAATGAGCACTGGTTGAATGAATGAATGGGTAAGCTCTCTGGGCATGGGGTAAGGTGAGGAAGTAGTTGGTGGGCTGAGGTCCCTGCTGAGTGATGAAACACTATCTAGCATGACTGAGCACTTCCTAAGTGCCAACCAGCAGTTTACCTGTGGCACGTCACGAGGCAGCTGCTATTACTATTCGCCTGTTCATTTGTAGTTGGAAGCTCAGAGACATCAATTTACCAAGTTTACACAGCCAGGAAGTGGCAGGACTAGGATTTGAACCCATGTCTCCTGCATATGAGTGTTTGCCCTGAAGCAGGAGGTATTCACGCTGTGTCACAAGTCTTCCCTTGCTTATTAACTTGTTTTTAAGTTTACGAATGTTGAGAAATGAACAATTTACAAATGCACACGTTATGTAGAGCACCCTACACATGGTAGTTATGCTTTATATAGAGTATTGGACTCACAGAAGGAACATTTTCTGTCTGGCACACAGTAGGCACGCTTCCTGTAGATAACCCAGCGCAAAGTAGGTACACTTTGTGTAGATTACTTGGCACACAGTAGGCAAACTACTTTGCACAGAGGAGGCTTTCTCTGTGTAGAGCACCTACTACACAGTAGGTGTGCTTTATTTGGGGAACCTGGCACACCGTGGGCACACTTTCCATAGAGCACCCCACACAGAGTAGGTTTGCTCTATGAGGAGCGCTGGCACACGGCAGCATGAGGACGAGCTGCCAGCCCCTTCCCTTTACTCCAGGATTTGAACTTCCATCTCTTGCATATGAGTTGGTACCCTAAAACAGGAAGCTATTCATGCTATGATGCAAGTCTCACTTGCTTATTAAGATCGTTAAGTTTTCATATTAAGAGAAATGAACAGTTCACACTTGTGGCCATCTGGCCTCTGTTTAATAAATGAAAACAATAAATTTAAAAAAAAAGAAGAAGAAAACAAGTCCCCAGAGACTTTACCTGAAGAGCAATCATGGAATCTTCTTACCAGGAAATTAGTGGACTTCACCCGACCCTGTGCCCTTCAGCCCCTCAGTGCCCTTGGACTGTCTGCCAAGGCCCCTGGCACCCTGCTCGGAGGACACAGATTAAAAATATTATAGACTTGACTGGCATTACAGAGCCCAATGGACATACACCAGGCCCATTCAGCTGAACTCCATTGTCACAATAGTCCCTGGAAGCCAATTTCAAGTTTTGTTAGTGAAGAAGCCATGGGATTTTTCAGAGACACCTGGGGCCTCATTAAAAGTTGGCTTAAAAATTCCCACCTCCTTCTCCTGTGGAGATGAAAGAGTCCCTAATGATCAGCTGCAGAGCCCAAGGCGGATGCGGTCTGACGCACAGCTGAGCGCTGAGGTGGAGACAGGGCCACAGGTTCACCCCTCAGGAGGACGGCTCCCCGGAGAGTTTCCCTGCTTAGTCTCAAGCTCAAACGTGGGCATTTGATTAGCATCAAGAGACAGAAGTGGGAGTGGAGGCGGCGTTCTTTTCCCCCAAGCCTCCAGATTCCCTGAGCTTTAACGGCCTAACCCTCCAGCATGCCCTGTGGAGGCCCGGGCAGCAAAGCCCTAAGTGAGCACCGCACCGGGTGCTGAGCGTGGCCGCTGGGAGCGCTCTACGCTGACAGGCGCTCCATGTGAAGGTCTCCAGGGCTCGGAGGGCGGCAGAGGCTTCTGCTTCCACAGCCTTGCTCACTGCCGTGTTATGTAAACGACCTCATCTAAACCCCTTCTTCCCCAGGAGACTGGCAGCCCTGAGAGTGTACTGAGAGCACGCTGGACTTGCTCACCCTCACGTTCTCACAGCCTGGCACCTAATAGGTGCTCAGTAAATACTTGCTGAGCAAACCAACAGATGACTCAGCACAACTTTACGGCAAGTCCGTGAGCTGCAAAATCCTTCTGAAATGTGAATGGCTGTTCCCTAGTTTATGTGAAATTCCCTTCTCAGGTGTGACTGAGGTCACAGGAACCCTTGTGTGTGTATCATAGTTAGTTCCTCTATGTAAATGAGTGTCATATCGTGCCTATAGGGATTATGGGGTAATGCCTCTGTAATCTGACCCCTGTCTGTCCTGTTATGCCATTGTGAGGGCCCCATTCCCTGCTTGCTGCCCAAGC